TTCCACTTCATCCATATCTGTCTCCAGCATAACAAATGTGTTTGAATTGCTATAGTTGGCAGGGATTTCCTTGGTTATATCTGGATGAACCAAGATATTTTCGGCCAGTGTGCGTCCAATGCTAGCAAAATAAGAGTTAATCTCATTGACCGAACTTTGGGGATCCAAGGAGTCCAAAAGATCATGGGTGTGCTGTTTTTGGGGATTCATGTACGTGATATCTTTGATAGCCATCCACAGTTTTTTATTATTGCGTTGTGAGTTTCGTATCAAAGACTTGTCATACTCGATTTTAGCCGTACTCAGAATCTTTTTACAAAAATTTCGGTATCTTGAGTAAGTGGTTTTAAGAATGTCGTTATTTGGAGACTTTTTTAGTTTTAAGTCCATTTGATCTCGATTTCTTAAACATCTGAGTAGTCCCGTTGTCATCCAGGGTTTTATTAATCTTTTACGGTTTGGTACGACTTTTAGTATGGTGTTTGCCAGAATTATGCTATTCAAAGAATTAATAAAATGACGTGTAGCTAGGTTAACATCAGTCATACCATACAGATTGGTGAAATCAATTTCCAGCAATTCTGATTCAATTTTATTATAGTCTATTTGTTTTATTGTTTTTACTGCATGATTATTTAAATTGGGCATACTGGGTTTTAAGAAGGTTAAAACGGAATCATGATCTGTGATGGACGTGTGAGCTACATAACAATACGCAGGGTATTTGGTTTTTAAAATTACATGGTCTAAGCAGGAGGAATTATTCCTTGTAAGTAATGTGTGTGCCGGGAGCATACCGTGAAAAGCTAACAAGTTAAGATACTCAATTGAACGGGGATCTTTAGTGTTTTCTGAAATATTGATATTTATATCACCTGTTATAATAAAATTTTTGTAAGCTGATAGTGATGTCAAATGTTGATGTAGGGAATCTAAAAACGTGGTTATATTTTGATGGGCGGGGGGTCTGTAAATGGCAATGATCACAAAAACCTTATTTATAATTAAGGTTAGGCAGTTAGCTTCGTGCATAGTAGTGTTTAATATTACTACATTATGATGACTACGGAAATATACCACTACGCCTTCATTTTGCGTACTGTGCTGCGTGGTATTGACGGTCGTATAACCAGGAAGATCTGGTATGGGAGGAGAGTTGTGTAGCCAGCACTCGGTCAAAATTGTTAAATCCCATAAAATATTGCTTCTCACAAGAAGAGTATTAAAAGCATTGAAGTTCCGGTTTATGCTTCTAATATTTTGACAGAACAGAGACAATGTATTTTTATGTAGTCTGGATAGTTGGGCGGTATCCTCAATCCTACAGTAACCAGACTCCGCTACTGATAAGTCATCTAATTCCAAGTTAATCTCACTTAAGTCACCAAACTTTGATTATGAAATATACATAACACAACTACTTGACATGTAAATTTAGTGCAGTGACACATTATGCTTATTTTCATAGTCATTCTGATATTTAAGCAGAGAATAAATTTCATGTCCATAAGTTTTTCCTTGTTTTCTGTTAAATAGTTTTGAATGCAAACCATTTTTAAAGGAGTAATTAACATTGTTTTGATTACAGCTAAAAGCTTTACATATAAGTTGTAAGCACCTATGTAAGTTGATGGCAGTTCATATAAGTTATCAAGATGAAATGTATATATGTGTAGGGTTAAGATTGTGTATATAATTATTATAATGTCTATTGACTGTCGCCTTGAAAGGTCCAAATTATAGCGTTCGGGGAATACCCATACCGTATCCCTCAGATATCTTTTATGTGCTCTTACATCACGGTAATCATCTTTAGATAATTAGTCATGACGGCCTCAAAGTCTTCCATTTTGAAAATAATTGAATACAAATTTGTAAACAAAAAAATAGTAGGTAGTAGTAGGTAGGTAAATACGCAAAATAAAAAAAATGTCAGAGCAACTTAAGAGAAAGCGCAAACAACACATAGCAATAAAAATCGTTAATAAATACCAATTATTAACTTGAGTCGCACTTGAGACTTTTTTTTTTTCAATTTTATGCATTTATAAGGACAACTTACGCCTGACCTAAAAATTGACTATACCAAAATTGTTTTCACAAAAAAAAAAAGACTTTAATGGTTCCCAAGACAGTTTCCTTGTATCTTCTATGATTTCGGATTTCCCAACAGTAACCTAACCTACTGAATGGAGGGCGCAACCAAGATGTTCGATGAATCAAAAGATATACTGGTTAAAAATGTCGTTGCCTTACCTCTTTAATCAGAAAAGGTTTAAGTTTGTAACTATGCTTCAATGAGCCGTAACAGTTTTTTATTTTTGAGTCGATATGTTTTTCAAAAGCCAAACCATTATTAAATAATAAGCCCAAATGTAATTTCCGGATTTGCGGCTCTTAGGCACTCTACCTGATTCTTAGTACCTAACAAAATATACAAACACTTTTGGGCATTCAATATAAGATCGTACCTATTAAACCACTGGACAATTGCCGATAAATCCTCATTGACATCACGAACAGCATTGTTAATTTTAGTAATATTTAATGGCGTATGTACCAAGATCTGAGTAGCATCTGCATACATATGTGCAGTTCCGTACCTTATATTCTCCAGAAGATCAAACGTGTATACAGAGTATAAAGTAGGTCCCAAAACAGAACCTTGGACCACACCTCGGGAGACCTCGAGAGGGGTAGATCTGACCGGTTTCCCCAACACATCCGTACATTGCACTCATATTTGTGTCGTATTATTGAAGTAACTTTCTAACCACTGGCAAAATATTTTATCACAACCGCAATAGCGCAGTTTGTCTATTAAAATCTTCTATTTAAACAGTCAAATGCGCGACTGTAGTCAAGCAGAAGCATTATCGAACCGTTGTTTTTGTTGGCGGCAGTTAAAACGTCATCAACTAAGTGCATCAATGCTGTAGTCGTACTGTGTTGTACGCGAAACCCAGATTGATGCTCGGGAAGAATGTTATATGTATCTAGGTACCCCAACAAACGAGTATTCACAGCTTTTTCCAATACTTTCGAAAGTACAGGTAGTAAACCTATTGGCCTCAAGTCCTGAATTGTCTCTACACTGGCTTTCTTGGGGATTGGCTTTATTGCAGCTTTCCATTTTTGGGGAAAATGTCCTGTGCTTAACGATTTATTTATAATTGCAGTAATAGCCGTTAAGGAATGTGGTAGAGTGAGCTTAAGCATTTTAATTGAAATTTTATTCTCCAACTGCATTTGATTTTAGAGAATTAATAATTTTCAACACTTCCACTGTCGATAATTCCGAAAAACTAAAACTTTTGTCTGCAAACTGTTTGCAAGTATAATCGGTATTTTGTAGATTACTACGATTTATATTCATAGGAACAGAACAGTCTAAGAACGTTTTATTGATAACTTCTGGATCCCGAATATGAATATAATATGGTAGTGAATCTTGTGAATGATTACCCATTACTTTATTAATTTCCCCCCAGAGTTTATTTGGCTTTTTAATATTTTTATTTATTGAAAGAGAGAAATAATGTTTCTTTTCACTTCGTATGACATCAATAACAGCGTTACGTAAAGATTTGTACAATTTTCTATCCGATTCATTATTTGTGATTTTGGCTTTAGCACACGCATTGTCTCTGTCTTGCATTAGAACTCTGATACTATCGACTGATAGCATCAGAGTTCTAATGCAAGGTGCGGGAATATCCATATAGGAATATCCATGGTGCGGGAGGTTGTGTGAAAATCTTAGTGCGCTCAGGTACGAAGTGGTCAAACAGACCGAGAATGAGAAAGTTAAAGCAATCGACCATCTCATCTACAGCGCTGTAGCTGGACATCCATTCCCATGGTGTAATTGACGACGCAAACTGATATGTGTCCAAATCAAATATGTGGAAAGGTCGGTACGTGATTGTTCGAGTGACGATTTTTGGAAATTTTATGGGAAAAATAGCTGACACAAGGGCATGGTCACTCAGATCGTCATTGTGGGTCACAGTCACTACTTGAGGTTGTATATCGATATTGCAACATATTACATCTAGTAACGTACATGTTGTTGAGGTAACTCTAGTAGGTTGATCTACTATAAGCTGAAGATTGTAATTTTGCAGTAAATTTATAAAAGAATTAGTTTCTTTTTTGGATTTATCTAATAAATTAATATTTATATCACCAGTCAGAAAGCTATAATCGTACTGTGGATAAAGTATTGATATCGTATTGGACAATTCATTTAGAAAACTTTCAGTACTAAATTTAGGGGGTTTATATACTACACCTATGGCCAATTTGCGATTGTTGATCTTTACCTCTATCCATTGCTGCTCAATTGGTAGCGTGATCTCTCGGCTGCGTAGTCTATTTTGAATATACATACCGATTCCTCCACCCTCGCGCTTTTTGCCTGTACCCCGTGGTTTCTGCAATAGTCGATAACCTTCCAAACGATAGTGTTTTAAATTAGATGCCTGATTTAGTCTGGTTTCAGTAACAGTCAAAACATCTGGTTTGACACTGTTCACAGTCCTTACTAGTTCATCTCTACCCGTGCAATGTTTAAAGATTGCACATTTATAGTAGCTAAGTTGAAATTTGTTTTTTTAGGTGACATTTTAATAATAAATAAAATATAAAATACATAGACACATTAACAGAGAATATAAATTTGGTACTATAACGACATTTAAAAAAAGAAAAGTTTGAATAAACATGAAATTCATAATACATAATACGTACAGCCAAGATGCATGTATGTGTGAAGAGTTATACTTAAACTTAGTTTCTCACATAAAAGCATATTTACGAATTTTATTCCATTTTTTAACTTTATATGTAATCTGCAGATCTAGTCTTAACTAATTTTATACTAATTTAAGCAAGCTGTCCAGGTCCGGAACATGAACGGCCTCACTATTTTCGTCATTTCTCACATAAACTCTCCCGTGCTTGATCCAAACATACTTGTAAATGTTTTTAACTTGTCTTTTGTTGCGATATGAAGTTTTTTAATTTCGGGTGGCAGATGTTCCACGATATAAATCTTATGTTTATGACCAGAGATGCCCAATAGGTTTGAATTAATTGGATTCTCTCTATTTACTTTGTTATAATCCTTGAACGCTGCGATCAAGTTATCTCGTGAAGATTGAGACGTAAACGTTACAAGAATATTCCTGAGACGTTCATTGTTAGTACTCATTTTTGCTACTCTTCTAACAGAAGAAATTGTTTCCAGTAAGAGTTTTCCAATGGTCCTGCAGATGTTGTGTTATGAATTCGTCACTAATAGCTGGGAAGAAGGTGTTGCACGCTAGAACTTCCATATCCAGTGCTTACAAGTTGGTAAAAGCTAAAGAAGTTCTTAACCGAGAATAACAAATCACTGCAAACTTGTAAAGTAATTTGGAAACTTGTAAAATAGTTATGATTAAATAAAATAATTAAAGTGAATACACCGAATTATAATACAATAATATTATGTTCCATCAATTTACCAGTTTATAATTATACGGTATAAGGCATAAGTGCTAAGAAAGTAGACATTGATCTTATATTTATATTATTATGACATATAGAATATGCTAACATGTTAATGTACTAAGTACAAAAATAGCTATAATATCTTGGAAAGAATAGACTTAAAATAATAAAAATGTCATTGTTAATATTACAACAAATACATTATTATTGCGACATGAATTTGCCAGACTTTTAGTTTTTGTCTTTTCATGGAATATAAACCAGCAAATAATCCACCGGACGTCATAAGTTTCTTATAGGTGGCGCTAAGACAAAAAGCAGCTTAGAACCCAATATTAAGATTTGCAACAAGCACAAACAAACTCGTAAGATTTGCTTACTCGACTACTCTCACTTGGCAAGAGCAGTAGCCCCGGTTTCCAGATCGTAGGAATTTGTCTTTGTGTTTTTTCGGTCTTAGTATCACCAATAAAATCAAACTGGAGGAGTATTTTCACTAAAACTATGCCATGGCAGTAAAATCATTACGATATTCAATAAAATAAATTGCCAACAGAACTTAACTATTAATATTAAATTAAGTAGGGGTAATGAACGATGAAAAAAATGAAAATACAATTCTAACAACGAATAAACACAAAGCAAAAACTTTCCAGAGAGAATACAAGTACAATGGTGTTACGATATAATGAATGATATGAAGAATTAGAAATTTTTTTCTACCATAAAGTGTGTGCTTAAGGCCGTCTTTAATAATATATTTTCTGAGACCAATGCCAGCTGTAATCATCTGTTTATTCCAATTAAATTCTTTAACGTCACAGCAAAATATTATTCGATCATTTGTTGAAAGGCTCTGATACATGTTGACGAGGTTATCATCCTGAAATTTCCAATCGTTCATCATAAAATAAACTAGAGCGCTATTCAGTCTGTACACTTTGTTGTACACTTTAGAAAGTCTGTAACAAAATAATTTCTAAAATTATTATTACTGTGGTGGCGTACAGGGTTTACGCCTGAGATATACAAATTTATGGATTTGTTCTGTTTAATACTCCAGGCTGTAGAAAATAAGACCAATATAAAAAGTATTCCATAAATTTGTTTTTTCATGTAACACCATTCTATACCAAAAATTCAAAAAATTATAATAAAAATAAAATTTCAAAATTAAAAAAAATAACATTCCTGGTTTGAACTAGACATACAAAAACGTGAAGTCAGAAGTATACCGACTTTACTAAACTAAATTTTACCATTTTACTTCATGTATTGTCGGTCAAAGCGTATTTATTTATATTTCAACTTACATTGGCTGTTTTCCCAGTAACAAAAGAATCGCGTCAACGAAATAGCCAGGAATGTAATGCAGGATCCACGCCAGAATGATATACACAAATTTATATTGTGTTGTGACATAGAAAGGATGGTATACTGTCGCATCTGTAGCAAATGGTGGGCCGTCCCGAGTGAAAATTTCTGTCTGATCCTCTGAAATGGAAAAAGCATTAACTGTAGATAACTGTTACGTTACCATACTAAAAGCCGCTAAGAACATTACAGATTAAACCATATTGTAGGCAGCAGCATCTTCATAGCAAGAGCTCTGGATTATTGCAGGAGACCTCGGTTGATTTGAAAATTAATTCTTAATGAGAGCAAAACGTTTTTCCACCAGAACACTGGGTTGAGGGTGTGTATCACCATTTCAGCCGAAAGACGTCCTCTGCTGGATATAGGACCAAAGGTCGGCGCAACAAGCGGACTCGCGCTGCTTGCATCCAGCGGATTACCGCAACCTTTAGCGAACATCGGTCCACATTGTGGGTGGTCTGGCCACGCTGCGTCTGCTGGTACGCGGTCGTCACTTGAGAACTCTTTGGCCCCATCGCCTATCTACTCTACGAGTAGTGTGCCCTGCCCACGGCCAGATAATTACTTAGTTTGGCAATCCTACATGACAAATTAAAAAAAAAGCACTAAAATTAGCTTCATGTTCTATATATTGACTTAAATATTCACAACATGCTACCGCATCACAAGATAAGGATCACATTCACATGTAGTATATCCGAATAATTAAAAATTACTAGTATCAAAAACTTACTTAAAGTTATTGGATTTCTGTTACTGACGACGGCAATAATTTCAATGCTTCTTTCTCCTTTATTCCATCGCTTGTTTGTGTGGAAAGCCGTGATTATGCACGCATTGTTTACAATGTCGACGGGTACGTAACACATTTGATTGTCGGATTTTGATATAGTAACGTGTAATATACCCAATATACCCCCGAGCATGAACTGCGAAAATAAAATATATACGATGGTATTTGCTTCTTAAATAAGACATTATTAGAAAACGTTATGGAAAATCTTACACCACTAGCGCCGAACATGGCACTTTTGTCAATCCATCCGGGACACGGTTCACGATATGCACCAATTACTACAATATAAATATCATCAAAAAACACGGAAATTTAGTCGAATAAATGTAATGTTTTTTTTATTACCAAACAGTAGAACAAACCTATTGCTGGTCTCATCACAGCGATTGGCATTTTCCCTTCCTTTTGACGTACAAGATCTTCTGTGACTGTTTTAGTAAAAGCGTAACTATTCGGCCAATCTTTGATTAACCTAAAATGAATTTTATTGGTATATTGCTAATTATTATCAATTTTTAGTATGGTTTGACGGAGTTAAGCATTTTGAGCTGCCTAACCATATTTTCAATAGTCTTATACCAATCTTTTTAGTGAGTGCAATAAAAAAATGTATAGAAGACGAGTTAACATGCCCTTATATACTTAAATACGAATATACTGTAGTGACAGTTACTAAAACTTTGTCTCAAAAAACACTTACGCTGGCGTTATTTCATTCAGTTTTGCTTCATCTAATGTTTCTGCAAATTGAATGAGAGCTTCGGGAGACACTGGAGTTTGATAAAAACTTTCTTTTATTTCTTGCCCTACACGACTAGTAGTTGCTGGAGTATATGCAGTTGATACATAAATAAACGCTCTGTAAATCGAGAAAGTTAACTTATATTACTTATCCCAATGATTGGGTTACTCAATCACGAAAACAACCATTTTGAAATAACAAATCTTAAGTGGTAACGTTGGAAAGCAACAATTTTTCATGTCAAACCTGAAAGAAACTGTACTTGAGTTATGTAAGAGTTATTACGATCATACCAAAATCACATTTAATACAAAGATATAAGTTTCACATAATGGATGCAGACATTCCCTATATGCTTTTGATTTCTTCTTTATTAAATTCTTTAAAACAATATTTTAGTTGCAGCAAAGAAATAATCTTGTTTAAGTAAAAAATAACTTCAATATCATCTTAAATGTTATTTCTTTATTGGTTTTTCGGTCTGTTATGTGTTGTTGTATCATTAAATGAAATATTAAATATGAAACTTACTTGAGACGTTTGCATTCTTCTCCCAAATTAAGAACTTCCCGTGTACCACGAACATTAGTTAGTGTTGCTGTCTTTAAAGTCTCTGTAAAGTTTACAGTTGCTGCTTCATGAAATATAATATCTACCTGTAAATAAGGACAAATATCAGTTATTAAAAAAAATTCTGTAAAATAGTAAAATTTATTGGTTCTTGAATCAGGTTGTGTGTGTGGTTTAATTTATTGTAAGTTGTAAGCTAACACTCTCGTAAAAACTATTGAAGAAAGATGGCTGATATACCTATATTTATAATTACATATAATTATTATAATAATAATATTACAAAGAAAGCGTTTCGCCATTAATAATTTCTATGTACAACATGTCAAACACTTGACTGAAAACCAAAGTGTCTATGCTCTACAAAGATTAATTCTACAAAGAAAATTAAAATTAATGATATCTAATAAGGAAAAATAGGAAAAAAATATGTATTTCCTTTTTATTAAATATTTTTTATAATAATTTTATATAGGTAAAACTACTTTTTTTACTAAGGCAAAAAACATTTTGTTTATTAGTAGACCATTTACCTCTTCAATCAACACACTCCTGTCTTTTTCACTTAAGCCAATATTAAGTTGTGCAACATCGCCTTGTACAGGAACAATTTTGTTGCGAAAGTCCGGTCTAAAATTTTTTAAGTTATCGAAAACCTGAAGAGCAATGAAAAATATTTAAAATTACGCATTTCGTGAAAAACGAATGTAATGAGTCCACAGCATATGTCCTTCAATAATTTAAAGTCAAACCACCAGTTTTTTCTCAAAGCCAAATGGATTAACTTACCTAAGTGCTAAATTATGACATGATTTTTCTTGTTACTGTCATATTAAAATATATTATTAATCTTCGAATTGTTTAAACATGTAATGATTTTTTTACTTACCGGGTCTTCGAATATTTCACACAATCTTTCGTGAATAGCTTTTTGTTTCTTGGGTCGCATCAGCATGTAAATCTTCTTGTAATTACAAGACCTCCAAATAAACATTTTAGTTAATTGGTGAATTTGGTTTTACGCGTATGAATTTTGTTATTAAATATCTTTGATCGTTACATAAAAAATAAAATTTGTAATTCTCTTTCGATTCTAAATTGGAATTTGAATTTGAATTAGACTTTTTCTTAGGAAAACAACTGACTCCATTAATGGCGATCAGGTTTAAGTCAAAGCGGTTTTTAGTGATTCAAAAATGTTAGTTTTTTAAAATATGCCATTTTAAAATTTGCCCTATTTTAAAATATGCCATTGTCAGTTGTTACCCTTTCTTGCTTTCTAAGATAAATTAATAAATAACGTTCAAAACAGTCATTAATACCTTGACAATTTCTCAATGAGTTGTTTTCCAAGAAATCCAGATCCACCGGTGATAAAAATCACCTGATTTTCATAGAAATGCTGTACATCGGAGTTTCCTTGTTGAATCGTCTCATTGATGATTCTATGTTGTGAAATGTCTTCCATGTGGTATGCTAATGCCGGATCCATTTTCGAAAAATCTGCAATTTTCGAAAACGTTTTTTTCGTTATTTCATAAGTGGATGTTTAGAAGCTTTTCGTTTTCTAATATCTGAATTGATTCGGAATAAACGGAGCACGTATACAACAATAACACTCTGTATTAAATTAGAAAATCCTTTAAAAGGTAATTTACAGTCTCACAAGATGCATGTTAGTGAATTCTTCGACCGTGTCAAGACTTTTGTACACCATGATACGCTGGTCAGAAAACTTGGCCATTATGATGTGTGAGCCGTGATCTCGACCTTCTTATATCGTATTTGAGTGATGACAAAGTTGATGTCAATGATACGGGAACATCATGGTCTGCAATTACATGGGTTTCCTCAAGGTTCATCTCTAGGTGCATTTCAATTTTTAGTTTATATTAAAGACTTACCTTAGACTCATGGAAAGTAAAGAATGTGAGAACGTATTGTTTGTTTATGATACTTTCTTATTATTTATTTGAAGTAAAAACCTGTGACAATGTGAATAATGCTATTTCTAAGGTAGTAGATTAGTTTGCAGGTAATAAACACCCTGTTCCTTATTGATAAAAATATAAAATGTGTAAAATAAACTAAGTACAGTCACAAATAACATAGTTCGACACGAAAAATTAGACCTTATAGATTCCGTTGTATTATTAGGTATTACATTAGATGATAAATTGCAATGGGTTTCATAAATAATTAAGTAATCGAATCGAGCCTCAACTTTGCAGTGTACGTTATTCAAAAAATTCGAAATCTTTCAGACATAAAACACGCTAGATTAGGTTACTTCAGTTTCTTTCATAGTTTATAATTTATGTCATTATGATTGTATAAGTGTAGATAATGTACCTTTGGGGTAATGCCGCCGACATTAATAGAATCTTATCCTGTTATAACGTACTGTTAGGACAATTTACAATCTAGACCCCAGAACGTCTTTCAGAGATAAATTTAAAGAAATGTATTCCTCTAGCAACACAGTAAAATTGGCACATCATTAATTAATATGAGTATCAAAAATAAACTGTCTATTCTTGACAGTCGTCTACACAAACATTTAAGAGGCACAGTGTCTATAATAAGATTTTGGTTGATGTTCAAAATTTACTATTTACGAGGGCTTAAACTGTAATGAAACAAAAGTTATACACTAAAAGTTATTTATACAGCTTCTCCATACTTGGATGACTAAAATTCATTATAGTGACATGTTTAATTCTATCTGGGTTATAATTCTTACTCGTTCCTCTCAGAGAAATCTGCCTTAGGAATGACTAGCAGTGTTTATGAAATAAAGATGCTTCAATTTAAATATACAGATTTAACACGGTTTAATCTTAAAATTTACAACTTGCCTTGCTATGTAACACTATTCATTTACAGTTCCGACACCATACAGTTTGTTTCCCAGAGTGTTCCGATGGCTGCACTGCACTGTTTAACTAAATACGTAAGTCGTAATGAATAGTCAAATAACTTTCGTGAATAAATAAATTTAATTAATTTTTATTTATCACGAGTTCACGTAAAGTCGACAATGACTATGAAAAAAAACTTGAACGTTGAATTTTCCTAAGGCGACCTTTAAAATGGCAATTTGAAATTCAAATCATCTTTGTTTCATAGGCTTGTGTGTACATGTACATTCGAGTAACCATAATCATTTAATATTTCATCACATGGGTAATGTACAAAACTTCTTAAAGAAGGATGGCGACATCCCATGTATTTTGTGACCCAGTGTTTTTGACAACGTGCATTATGGGGACCGATCAATACTTGTGATTCATTATCAAAGCATCAAAAAAGCTAATTGAGTGCAGCCTGTAGAAGCTACTTGGGGTTATAAAGTTGATATAGGTTATGTTTATAACATTGTCCTGTATTTCTTAGAATAGAATAGAATACGTTTATTTGCCAGAATACAGTAAATATACAAATCTTAAATTAATTTAGGTACAATGTATTCAACCTGCAAGCAGGTGTGCAAATATAACGGAATTCATTGTCTCTTGTGTACAGTTTAATTGCCTATTATTATAATGTTAATTTGGTATTTGTAAAGTCGAAATATTCATTATTACTATAGAAGCAATGTATCAAAAGCCAAACCATTTTATCAATTTTAGTTTAAAAGTACGTCCTTGTAGTAATTTAATGTAATTTGGTAAATTATTAAAAATCTTGATGCACATGTTGAAGCAGTTATTCGCATAAATTATTTTATGGCAGCGAGGTTGGTATAATTGTTTCATAATTTTAGCTCTAGTTTGTCGTTGAATTATTTCGCCACGTATTTTGAAATGTTGAGAGTGAGTCTTGACAAACACACATATACCTCTAACATACATGCTGGCGAGAGGAAGTATGTTGAGTTTTTTGAAGAAGGGTTTTCATGTGTCAACTGGTTTAGCGCCGCAAATTGCGCGAATGCATTTCTTTTGTGCTACAAACACCCTAACCACATCTACGGAGTTTCCCCACATTATTAACCCATAACTTAATACAGAGAAGACGTACCCGTGATAAGCCATCATTGCGGCTTCGTGAGATACAGTTTGTCTTAGCTTACGTAGGCCAAAGACAAATTTATTCAGCCTATTGCACACATGATCAATGTTATGTTTCTACTTTAAATGTTCGTCAAATTTGACTCCCAGGAAACTAAAACAGTCTACTTCATCTACCACTTGTTTATTATAGTGCATTTGAATAGGCAACGGATTACAATTATGCAATCTGAACTGCATGACTTTTGTTTTGCTAATATTTACGTTTAAGTCATTCTCATTTAACTATTTTATGACTCTATGTAGTGCTTCATTTATTTCCATTTCAATAATCATTTTAATATAAGGGTGGTGTCGTCTGCGAACAGTGTGCTTTCGTGATCTATGGCGTTTGGAAGATCATTTATGTATAGACTGAAAAGAACCGGTCCTAAAATACTTCCTTGTGGCATGCCGCTGTTTTTTTTTTCATAATTATAGTAATACGTTTGTTTTATGACGTTTGTGACTATCACAAGCTTTCACTTTTTCGCTTCAGATGTTTGTTCGTAGTAGCAGAAAACAACAAGTTTTCAGTTTGTTCCCTAAAATAATAATCTACCGGACTCTGCCACATTTAATATAACTTATCATATTCTGCAGCAATAAAAATGAATAAAAATTAAATCTGCCCAAATGGCAGAAATCTGCCACATATGGTCACACTGTTCTCATTTTTTTTTTAGTTGCAAACGTCCCTTTGCAACTTTCATTACCTCTCATTATAATATTTTATTGTCTTAACATTTTTGTCACATCGTGTTTTATTTTTTGCTCTATGTCTAATGACACAAATCCATCAAAGTGACATGTTTAATACTTTCTGGGTGTCTTGATCTATGATATTTATTTATTAAACAGTAATCTGTTTAATTGAATATTTGATTAGGTGTTTTATATCTTTAATGTTTTATGTGTGTATTATAAAATAACCAATACTTCAGGTAGGTAACCATCAATCATGCTTAAAATGAAACGTACGTACAAGAACGTTACATTATCTATGGTCGAACTGAATCAATTGCTTTGTGTTTTTGCATCCATTCTAAAATACAATGTTTTTTAATTTCTTTATTCCTGACTTCTAAAAATATACAAAAACATATTGATAACTAGACATAAACTAAAACGCAAAATTATACTAGCAAAGTCCATGAACGGCTCTTCGTCATTGTTGGGGCAGCTTTTGCCGTCGTTCTTTAATATAGAGTCCAGTCATGTAACCCTGCAGGGGTCCGCAATTTATGTTTAAAATTTATATTCAATTTAAAATAATTCATACTTAATTATTTATCTATCTTTAAAATAAAATTTTACATTATATAAGTTTGTTTTAAATAAATTCATGAAATACATAATATATTTAACGTTTACAATATTTTTTCAAACTTCTTAGATTAAGACTACCTGCAAGAGCTAAACGGGTCACTGCGACGGATTTCGTCATTCAAGTGCGCAGATGCTGTATATAACCTTTACTATACAATTTTTATTTCCCAATAGTTTTAAATTTTCGAATTTTTTAATCGCGTACAATGCAGAGTCGAGTCGTTTTGATAACTTACTTATATATGGAGTCTATTGCAATTTAGCATCTAAAGTTATACCTAGAAATAGAGCTTTTCGTTTTAATTGTAATGTTTGTGACCGTCTTTTTAGCATCGGGTAATGTAAATTTCACATAATTTGTTTTTTTCTCATTAAGAAGCAAGTTATTAACTGCAAACCAATCTACTACTTTAGATATGGAATTGTGTACGTGGTTGTAGGAACATTGGTGCTTTATAACTTTAAATAATAGGGACGTATCATTAGCAAACAATACTATCTCTTGTTTTATAAATTCCACGAGGCTAGGTAAGTCGTTTATTTAAAGTAAAAATAAAAGTGGACCTAGTATTGAACCTTGAGGGACGCCCAAGCTAATTGCAAACCTTTTTGAACTCGTACCGTTGACAGGGTGTACACAATCAAAGGCCTTGGAAAGATCACAGAATACACCAATAGCATCATGTGAATCTACCCATGCATTAAATATGTGTTTCATTAACTCAACACCAAAATTGGTTGTAGAGCGACCCCGAGTAAAACCAAATTGTTTAGGAGACATTAAATTATCACCGTAAAAATATCACACATCTCATTTACAATTTTTTTGCAAATGTTCTACTGAGAGTAAGTAGTATTGAAGTAGGTCTGAAATTGGTGGGGTTAGAAGTACTGCCAGATTTGAAAAGAGGAATAACTTTGCTTTGCTTCATAAGGTCAGGAAAAACACCATCATCAACACATTTGTTAAAGACAAATGCTTAGTAAGGTGCTACATTGCTACTATAACTGCAAAACCTAATCTTTATATATCGTACTCGTGGTGTAATAAGATCACATCTGCAAAATGACAATGTTTCAGGAAAAATGTTTAAGGAACGGAA